GCAAGTTTCTCAACATGAGAGAGAATTTGAGAGAATTTTTTCTTACTCTCTGATATTTTGAGTGTTGGATAATTCTTGCTGGATTTTCGACGAACAAACCTATTGTAAATACATATGTGTGAAATTCAATGTAATTTACAAGTCGATAAAAGTTTAATTAAAGTGATTTATATACAAGATAAAATAAAAGAAAAGTGTGTAAAGTATTAAGTACAGTGTTACGTGCATTTATATATATAAAAGTATGCACAAATGCTTTTTTGTTAAGGAAACCAAGTGGAACGACTTAAGAAATTTTAACAACAAATAACTTATAAACAATGATATTATTTATATTTTTTAGTAATACATGTTTTAGAGGATACCTCCCTTAACATCCTGACCAAGTTTCATTTGTTAATTCCACCTGGTTTTCTTAAAACACAAGGTGCGGCTGACTACTAAAGCCCACCCATTATACATGATATGTGACGAATAGCAAAATTAAAAAGGCGTAAAACGACAAGTTTTTACATCAAAAAGATATTTTGGCCTTTTGAAAAAATTTGGCAAGCTGAGTTATCTTGGCTAGATAATTGTTTTGAAAAATTGAATGAAAATCGGTAGCATTGCTGAAAATATCGAATTCAGCTCTAATATTATCGAGTCTTCTGCAGTGGAAGGTTTGGTGAATGTAATCGTCAAGTTGTCCACAGTAACCACGTGGCGAATTCAAAGCATTGATTTTAAACAAATATGCCTTATCATACGTGTGCCCTGATAGGACTCTGTTAAGCGTTTTAATGTCAGTTGGTGATAATGTTAGTTTTTTAAACCAGGCGAAATTTTTCCTGCATGGAAAAACAGATGCAAACAGGTTGGATTTTAATGAGGAGTAGTTTAAGAATTCATTGTACCATTCATCAAATATGGTATTTTTAATCTGCCTAATAGCTTCGTCAACTGTGTATTTGGCCCTTATAGAGGTACCTTCACTGGTGGCTTTTTTGGCTAGTTCATCTGCCCTTTCATTCCCCAGAATGCCAACGTGGCTCGGGGTCCATACCAGATCTATCAGTATACTATCCGCGTCAAGTATTTTTTTATGTATTTGTTGTGCAATAGAATTTTTTGTTTGAGAGTTTTTTAATATATGGCAAGAGGTGAGGCTGTCGGTGAATATAACAACCTTGTCCTGTTTGTTCATGATAGCAATGCTAATTGCTTCATTGATGACATGAAGTTCTCCAAAAGTGGAGGAAGACTTAAAATCAATACAAAAAAGGTGATCAGAGTTCTGGGAGTAGTTAAAAATTCCACAACCCGTGCTATTTTCAGCCAGGGAGGCGTCACTATACAGAATATAAAAACCTCTGTTTTTATAACTGTTTAAAATCATAGAGTGATGAGTCTTAATGCTCTCAATTGTCAGATTAGATTTTTTGTCAGGTAACATATTAGGTTTGTTCGTCGAAAATCCAGCAAGAATTATCCAACACTCAAAATATCAGAAAGTAAGAAAAAATTCTCTCAAATTCTCTCTCATGTTGAGAAACTTGCAAATTTCTGCACGAACGCAAATTTGCAGGAATTTGCAAGTTTCGCTGCCAGCTGGCGTCCACGGTTGCATTTCAAACATAAAAAATTTTTATATAATTTTTAAAATTCTTTCGGATGGCCATAAACAGGATATATGTACATGTATATTTCTTGTTATTCTGACTTTCTTTAACATACATTTCAATTTCTTCATCGTACTAGCTGTCGGGTTTCTTAAATCGACTCTGGTTGCAATTGCATTCCGATTGCGAATACCATTTTTTCAGCCGAATTAAGTTCAAATCATTGGAATTGGAATTGGAATTAACTAAATTAATTATATCAACAATTATTTACTTCCTTTTTTCATAAAAAATCGCTCGTGTTTATAAATTTTTAAATTTAACGAACTAATTTATTCAAATTATTGTAGACAAAAATGCAACCATGCGCCACAACCACATGTTTTTCGTGTTTGCAAATTCTTGCTGGCAAAATTTGTTCCAGCAAGAATTTGCAACTTCTCTCCAAGAGAACTGTCACTTTGCTCTCACAATTTTTGAGTGTTGGATAATTTTTTGGTCTGCACGAACGCGATTTGGGCAAAAATCGTGATAATTCGTACAAATTCGTACAAATTTTTTGCTCGACGAACAAACCTATTATCACAGATATGAAGATTGGAGATATGGAAATTGTGGTGAACCACATCAAGACGGCCAAGGATGTCAGAGAACTTTCCATATACAGAGGAGTAGCTAGACTTTAAAAGAGGATTGTTTCTTATTGAAGTAGAGATATTATCGTTATATGCAAAGATTTTAACCAATTCTTTGGCGGTGAGCCATATGGACCTTTCTTTTGGAGGCAGTTCATTAGCAATAGCATATAGGATGGGTATGGGGGTGGATGGGGTTAAACCTAGGCATCTCCGTAGAAATTTGTTTTGGAGCGTACATATTTTCTTAACAGCAGACTTAGAACAGTTGGCTGTAGTGGTACTACAATACTCAATTTTCGATCTAACCAGAGCTTTGTACAAATTTAGAGCTTTTTGCGGATGAAGGCCTGATTTAATATTTGTAAGATATTTAAAAAGTTTTATGTTATTTGCTGATGCCTCACAAATTTTTGAGTAATGATTTTTGATAGTCAGCGAACTGTTTATGGTTCTTCCGAGTACCTTGAGTTCATTAACTTGCGTCAGCCTTGTGCCATTAATATTAATGACAATGTCTTTTTTTGGTCCTTTAGATATGTGCATCAGCTTCGTTTTATCCGGATTTACAGAAAAATTGAGAGAATTGCATCTGTCGGCAAAGGAGTTGAGTGTAGTTTGTAGGTTTTGCTGTGCCTCCAACAGGTCAGCACCAGAAGATATGAAACAAAAATCATCAGCAAATTGCAAAAGTTGGAGGTTATCCTCTGTAAGATCATGAAAGCTCGAGGTATATACATTGAAGAGTAGTGGAGATAGGCAACTGCCCTGTGGTATACCATTATAGATCTCTGTACTATTGTTTCCTACCTTAAGTACTCTAAAGGCCAGGAAATTTATTATCCACTCAGTATAAAGACTTTCAACATTTAGTTCAAGGAGCTGGTTTTTTAAGATTTTAATATCTACGCAATTATAGGCATTGGCAATATCAGTAGTGCAGAAAATTACCTGCTTCTTCATGGATTTAAGGAGGCTTATTTTGTGCAGAATGTGATTGATACATACAGCGGATGATTTATTTTTCCTGTACGCAAATGTATTTTCAGGAAGGCTATTGTTGTTCTCCAAGAAGCGGTATAGTCTATCCTTGATACATGAGTTAATTAGTTTGAGTAAGACAGATATTAATGCAATTGGTCGGTAGTTATTGAAGTCATTTAGATCCTTTTCTTTTTTGGGGATAGGTACAATTTTTATGATACGCCAGTGATCAGGAATTTGATTGGACAGAAATAGATCGTTTAGAGATGTTCTTAGAGCACTTAAGGTGATTTCAGGTAGAGCTTTTAACATTTGATATGTTATTTTGTCTACACCAGCTGCTGATCCTTTTTTCTTCCTATTTAAGCTGCTCAATAATTCATCAAATGTGATTGCCAAGTTATGATCATAAACTAATTCTTTATTTATTGCTAGTCTAGTGGTTTGGTTGGGTACCTGCCTATTTAGCATTGCTAGAAAGCTTATATCGTTTTCATGGTTCCAAGAGGAGTTGCCTTGGTTGTAATCGCCTCTTAGGGCTTTAACAAACCGCCACACACTTCTTCCACTGCCAGTATTGATTTCTTCAATTTTATTGTTGAAGTTTGCCTTTTTGGCTTTCTTCACTTCTCTTCTCCACTCTTTTTGTTGAATCATAAGATTTTCAAAATTAGCAGGACTGGGAAAATTTTTTGCTTTCTTAGAAGCTGCAGTCAGAAGTCTGTACATTTTATTAAGATTGTCATTCCACCAGGCCTCGGGCTTCATGTTATTTTTGACAATGTGGGTGGCGTTGTTAATTTCTTCGGTTATTTTATTTTCAAAATCTTGTATATTGGCATCGCATTCTAGAGTTTTAAGTGAGGAGAGAAGTTTATTTTTGGCCATAAAAAGGCACGAGTTACTGTTAATTCCACTGACTTCAATTGTTACAGGTAGATGATGACTGCCACCAATTCTGATGGCATCAACATGCCAACTGCAAGGTGAGCCACTATTTGTGAAAGAGAGGTCTAACACCGAGCCATTGTTTGAGCGTAGATCCCTTTGATACGTAAAGGGGCCATTGTTCAAGCAACAAAGACTCGATTGCAGGATATGTTGGGTTAAGTGCTTGCCTCTGTTGGACTCAAAGGTGTCACCCCATATCGTAGCCCTAGCATTGAAATCTCCAGTTACAAAAACATTTTCATGCCGATCTGCAAAATCAACAACTCGTCTCATTTCATTATTAAACTCACTAATGGCTACATTAGGAGGGAAGTACACAGTGACTAGAAAAATATTTGGGCTGAGGTTGAGAGTTTCAATTACTAGTATATCAAAATCGGAGTTGAAAGTTACTCTTTTATATTTTATGTTGCGCTTTATGGCGATTGCCACACCCCCATACCCATCGCTACGATATTTCTTAATCATGTTGTAGCCAATTAACCTCCTGTGGGAAGAGTTGGCAGTGAGAAAAATTTCGTTTAGGCATACCAGGTCGAATTGATGTTTGTTGATATAAAATTCTAGAGAATCTATATTAGCTTTTAGAGATTGGATGTTATACTGTAGAATCTTCATTTTCAAGGAAGGAGGAGTTGTCATAGTTAATAATAGCTCTCTCGTCATTGTTGTTCATAATCAAGTCAAATTGATTTTTAAGAAATTGAATTTGTTGAAAAGTGTTGTTATCTTGAGATTCGATTGAAATTTTTTGAGTGATTCTAAGGAGCTGAGTCATTAATCTCTCCATTTGGGATACTAATCCTTTTTGGTAAGCTTGTGATTCAAAGACAGGGCTATTTTTAACTTTGTTGTCGATTCTTTTAGTATATCTTGGTTGAGGTGCTTCATGTCTGACCTGCTGATTTTTGAGAATTGAGCTATAAGATTTTCTTGTTAAACTACGATTTATATTAGAGTCTTTATCTATCGTTCCATCAGTCTGATCACAGACTGAAGGAAAAGTGGTTTCGTCCTCCTCAAAAATGCTGAATCTGTTGTTATTTTTTGGATAATAGGTGTCCAGAACTTCTTTCCTTGACATTTTCTTGACCGTTTTGATGCGGTTCACAGAGATCTCCTTTTCCCAATGAGGGCAACGGAGCTTGTCTTTAGCCGTATGGCCACTATTTCCACATAAGATGCAGTTGTTTGCCTCACAGTCCGCTTTGCACTCACTCTTGCCGCATTTGATACATCTAATTTTTGACTTGCAAGACATTTGAGTATGACCTAGTCTCCCACAATTGTTGCATTGTCTTAAGGGAGGGATATAAAAATCTACATCCAGCTTTGTATATTCATATATGATTTGCTTGGGGATCTCATTGCCCGAAAAGCCTATTTTTAATGTGGTAATTGGAACGTATTCATTGGTTGCAGGGTCCTTGCGCGTAAAGCGTCTGACCGACCTGATAGGGATGCTGGATATAGCATTATTTAAGAAATCTGAGTCACTGAAACATGTGGGTACGCCCCTAACTACACCGTATATTTCGAGTGCAGTGCGAGGAATGAAAGGTTTAAGGCCTCTTTTCGGAAGTTTGTCATCGAGCACGAATGTGTTCGCTGCATAGGTGTTTTTAAAAGTTACTTTGTATAGTGTTTTACCCAAGGCATAAATGAATTCAACATCTTTGTGACGCATGTCTTTTATTTGACTTAGCAGAGTTAACCCTGTGGTAATTTTTTCGTTTTTAATATTGGGGCATTCAGAGGAATCAACTAAAACAAAAATCTCCCCCTTAAATGTATGCGGGTACATCACTGTCTTTTGTGCGTTTTCGTTTTCTTTTCCTCTTGCTTGTTCATTTTCGTTAACTACAGCTAACTGTGCTTCTTGCAACTGTTCATTTTCTGGAAGGTTCTCACATTCCATTGTAGTGCTTGTAACTTGTTAAATACATACTTGTTTAAATATACTTTGAATAACTTTTAAGGTTGATTATTGTTCATAGCTTTTTATATATTTCAAAATGAAAATTTTCATTATTCATTCAGGAAAATTTTCGTATAGAATAAAGACATCTTTATTAAAATATAATAATTGTATATATATATAATACACGCTATTGCCCTTGTTAATTATAAAATATAATTTTCCCACTATTGGCGATCCTGCATTATATGTAACTTGGACTACCAAAAAATTACGAAGATCAAATGTCTATCAACGAAAAGCGCAACATCAAAGGAGAAACAAATCTCTTTCGAAATGTTTCAGCGGCTAGCTCGATGTGCATCCGCTGTTGTCCTTTCCGCTGCAATAGTGTGAACATTTTTGCCAGTCCAACTGCCACAACTGTAATCAACATCAACCTATACAAACGCAATTCTTATGTCCTTCAATATACATCAACAAAGGCAAGCCTCGGAAACAAGTCACTAGTCCAGTTAATCAATCGCTCCACATGGACAATTTTGCAACCTTAATTTCCACAAGCTGCCATAACCAAGCATTAGCCCCCTGCTAATTTACCGGCACTGCTACCGCAACAGCAGCCGTCCATTTCTCCGCCAAGCCTCAACGCCTATGACCACAGCCAACAGTTCAACACCACAAATGTTAGTCACTGTTGTGCCGCTTAACATAGAATGGGTTCTAGGCTCTTAATCAACAATAACCATTGAATACGTTACAAATGCAGCAACATTTACAGCATCAACAACAAGGTCAACAGCTGATGCAGCAACATCATGTCTCAGCAATAACAACAACATTCTAGCGCATTTAATTATTTTCGTCGTCGTTGTCATAACCAAACAAATTTTTAGTTATTACTAACATTTATTTAAATTTTTAGATAATTATTTCTGTATTTATGCATATGTATGTACATATATATGCATACAATTTTTTTTTATTATTTATATTTATTTTATACTCTCCTTCTAATATTAGTTAACTCGTCGTTTTATTGGAGGGGGTGTAAATGTAGGGTTTAAATACCTTCTTCTTTTATACCTGTACAATTTTTATTTGTTGTTCAATTGTTCTTAGATTTTATTAGAATTTCTAGATGAAAAGTTTTTAAAATCAGTAAAATAAAAATCTTCAAACTACAGACATAACATTTTGTATTGAGCATTAAATAACTAAAAATTTTAAATAATAAAATATCATCATGATATACCATGCTACCTACTGTTTCCAAACTTTTCCCGCCTTTCCTGGATTTTTCTACATTTTTCCCGCCATTTTCATCATTTTCTGAATTTTTCCCGCCCTTTTCAGGACACACGTTATTTTTCGCACTACCTCTGGGTTTAATCTGAATGAGCCCTCCACCGCTGGCGAGCTCATAGAAATTTGTCTCATCTCTATTGTCCAAAACTTTTGGTCTTTTCAGCGCACTGCCCTCAAATGCAGAAGCCTCTGCCTCAGGCATCGCCGACCACGAAGTCGACGACGCCATCTTGGCGTTTCTATCCTTGCCCACCTTAAGAGGCGGCTTTCTTTTCTTTCTAACAGGCACTATGGAATTTATTCCTTAGCACTTCACCCGAAAATGAATGAGAAAAAATGAAAAACTCTGTCTAGCCAAGACTCACCTGCCTTCCAGCTTGTTGCAGCAAAATTATGTGTTAAATTACGCGACGCAAAAAGGAATTAGTTTAAAGTGCTATTAGTTAGCACACACATGCACCCACTCACACGGCCTTTGTCACAAGAATCTAATTTTTTTTTTTTTTTTTTTTGGGTATAGAACACTTAGAAAATTTTTATTCGCGACGAACCACCTTCGCCCTCAAATGCCAGAATCCGAATGATATTGTGATACAGAAAATTTAGTTGAATCACTAATATTGCCTCAAACAAATTGAAGTTTGTAATTTGTGAAAGGTCCTAACAAAGTTTCTTTTGTCCATAGAGGAAAAGCACCACTCCAAAAAAGGCTTCAAATAAATTTATTTGCATTAGCAGTTCCCTCGGCGCTTCGCGATTGAACATATAGGGGCTATATGTGTGTACATATATGCATTTGCACATATGCTGTACATATGTATGTATGATCACGAGGTAGACACCATTCCTGCAAATGCACTTATATATCGCTAGCTTAGAGTAAAAAGTTGCGAAGTCCACTTATGAAAACTCATATGTTGATAAAGGAGCAATACAAATTGAAAGTGGTACTTCTTTTATTTATTTTTTCTTATATTCAAAAAAGACTAATTTTCTAAACAAAAAAAAGCACAGTAAACGCGATAAGGCCAAAATAATACCAAATATTTCAATCCTTATGATTCGTATGGAGTTCCGCTCTTCTTTAAGGACGCAAAATGTTGTATTCAAAGTTTTGCAAAATACTTTAAGAAAATGTATACTTCTCCTGTAAAATTTGTGAAAGGGGACTTGGCAACTTTTCACTTTAAGCTAGCGATATACATATATGTATTATATACATATGTACTTACATATATGTATATGCCCGTTTTGATAAGCATTTTCTATTCCATCGCAAAAACTTATGAAAATTAAAATTTAAATGAATTGCTCAGTTGAATAAAACCGTAACAACTTTGTGCAAAAATTAGCGCATCCATATGTACATATAAGATTTAACTGTATCAAATATATACTATGAATTAAGTTCAATCTAAATTTATGTCTTTAAAATCCAGATTCTAACTTTAATGCTTATTTACACCATTTTTCAGAGACTAATGAACTTAGTGAAATCTGAAATTACATACGTGAAATATTCAACGTTGCATCTGTAAGTGAAGTAGAACGTATATAAACGCAAAAAACCCAAGTATTAGAAATCTCCAGTTACGCTGAAATTCCATATCACGGAAAAAACCAATATAAAGCAGCAATATGTCGAGTCAAAACCCAGCTGCGTCGAAAAATACAACAAACAAGAATGAGAAAACGGATAATGTAGTCGGTTATGATTGTAGTAGTGCATCTGCTGTTGCAGCAAGCAGTGAGAGCAAGGAAAGTTCTCAAACAAAGGAAATATTAAAAAATATTGACATAGATGATCAGATTCATGAAATAGACTCGGGTTTTTTGTCGGGTCCTTTAAGTTCTAATCTCGAAGAAGAAGAGAAACAAAGAGAAAATACTACAAACAACTTAAGCAAGGCAAACAGTGCCGACAAAGCAGCAGCCAACTCTAGGAAGTCACCTCAAAATTCTTATCGTCAAGAAGAGGTTGAGAAAGAGCTTTATGTTTTTGATTCGGGTTGTATTGAGGAAGAAGAATACCAAGAGCCCAAAGATCAGTCTATTGGACAACATAACACGCAATCGCGGCAGCAAAAAAATAGCACAGCCGTCGCTACCAAAAACACAACATTACCAGATACAGAAATGAAACTTAAACACGATTTGGATGCTTACATTTCTGAAAGATTTTGTAATCTTAGTTTACATAATGAACCAATAAATAACTTGAATGCATCGGGCAGAGTGGCAACGGTTGAACCCATAGTAGCTACGGAAACAACGAAAACAGCAAAATCTAATCAATTACCAGCATGGGAACAATACTATCAACAAAATGACGAGGGAGATACGTAAGTAGAATTCAGTGGCCGCGAAATAACCAATTATTTACTACTTATTAAGCACATTTTAAAATTTCGCATATATACTAATTTGGTGAACTAATAAGACATTAAAAAATTTGCATCCGACTCAACTCCGAAAGAATTGCATAAATACCAATATATTTAATAATATTCAACCGTTGGTAGCTCTAAATTGAAATCGTATTTTTTGTTTTACATTCTGCAGCTATCTTCACTTGGCATGTTTATCGGGTCAAGCAAATATAGTTTCCGCTCTAATCCGTCTCGCTGTACACCCCTGCCTATTAAACATAAAAAATGATTATGGCCAAACTCCGTTACATCTAGCAGTGCTTACAAATCAAATAGGAATTTTACGCATGCTGTTACTCGCCGGTGCTGAGGTATATAATAATCATAACTTAATCTCATCTGTTAATGATTAGTAATAATTATCACTGTAATAATACTACTATTTGAATAAAACTTATATGTAAATTATATATCGGTACAACGTAAGTTTGATACAAAAAAAAATCTGTTTCTCCCTCTAATATCCAGCCAAATTTACGTGACTGTCATGGAAATACAGCATTACATCTTGCATGCATATCTGGCGATGAGGCATGTGTTAGCGCTTTAACGTTGCCATTTAGCGCTGCTGAAATTATGGAAACACATCGAAAGTATGGTTTCAGACCAAACAATAAATTGTCAAACAATTTAGAGATTAGAAATTACGATGGTAAGTCTCCACATATATAAGATACTTGGTATTATAGCGAATTATATGCAAAATAAATACACAAGCAAAAATTCGTGTCTAAAGTGACATGGAACGTACTACAAAATATCAAGCATAATCTTTTCCATAATTGTTCCCTTTATAAGCATTGTCGGTCAGCAATCGTAAATAAGCAAAAATTATTTATTTGTAGTCTCATTTTTAGCAATATTTACATTTTTGGCACAGAAATTTGCTGACGTCAATAGTATAGTATGTATACATGTGATAAATCTAGAATGAAAATATCCTCTTTTAAAAACCTTGATTTATAATTGTTGAAAATGTGAAATATTCTATACATAAGGAGACGACATTTAAATTCTATAAATATTTTAATCATAGACGTCTTTTAGAAAATGTCATCATTTTGTCTGCCAATATACATATATGTATATATGTATGTAAACACATCGAGCATACATATGTACCTACACACTAATATACATATGTATGTATATTCATATCGTCGTTTAAAGTACAAAACCGCGTATCAACAAAATGCAAAACCGCGTATGGTTTGAGTCAAGAGCTTGTGTGAGCAATCCAATTTTTGGCCGCAAATGTCACAGTTTTGCAGAATGACGATACACGGTTTTGTACTTTAAACGACGATATGTGCATATTCATAGCTCGTCATTATGTCGCAGCTCCCGCTGTAGCTATTGTCTGCGGTGTGCTAGACTTTTTCGGTTTTACCCCAAAAACAATAATCAGCAGCTATACATACATACATACATATGTATGTACATATATACCAACAATATGGTCATACCCAACGAGCAAAATAAACTTAAAGTAGGTTTTTTAAAAGTTTACTAAAGTAAACATAAAGCTTACAGCACGATTATTCTTGGGTTTTAAAATGCTTAAAAAACGCAACGGCACCTTGTTTATAAGCGTATGAATATAAATTTAAAATACTAGATTTTAAAAATAAAGTATTTTTTCTTGATTTCGTCGTACGCATTCGCGCTTTACTTTTATCTAGACATTTAGACATTTATTTCAATTTAAATGATTTATAAATATTCGCTTTAAACAGTTATAAAAGGTTCATTTGAAAAAAACTTAAAATAAACTTAATACTAAAAACGCTTATTTAACACTTAGTATAGCAAACTTACTTTAAGTTACTTTTGAAAACACTTACAGAAATGCTTGTTGGGTAGTGAAGTGCCATACAGTAAAATTTTTGCATATACATATGTAGATAAAAAGCAAGAGTAAAAAACGATCCCTATGTACATATTGTCATAACTAATGTGACCAACTATTTCATAGCTCAAAGAAGTACAGCTTAGGTTGGGTTAAGTTAACACCGCGAGCCGACTACGAAATTTTGAAAGCAGCTAATTTCGATCCCTGAGAGTTCAGTGTTTGTACAGAAGTGCGAGCCAAAATGCTTCCATCTTAGGCGCGCGAAGGTTGGACAGCCTGAAAGAAAGTGTTGAGATGATTCCACTTCATCTTCCTCTTGACAGCTGATACAAAAGGATCAGTTGAAATTCCTAGTCTCACCGCATGAATACCAATAGCACAATGGCCTGTCAGAACCCCCATCACTAGCCCTTGAGAGATAACGTGTTTTAAAGTGGTCAATAAAAACATTTGCTGCAGCAGAGAAGCGACTTCTTTTCCTTTTTTATATCACAAAAGGACCCGGTTTCCCTTAGCCTAATAGCAGTTTGTGCTGCGACAATTCTGTCTACAACATCCGCAGGTGTCGTGTTCAACATATGTATGTTAAGTGCCGGTGTAGGTGTGGCTCTTAATGCTTCGCTAATTCCTGTTTACAAGTTTAGCCATCACTAGTGAGCTCCACCAGACAAGGGTTCCTTGAAACAATATAGGCTTGAATCTGGTTTCCTAGAGCTAATGAATTAATTTTAATCCTACCGATAGCTCCCCTACAGCAGTACAAGGCAATCGACACTTTTCCTACCCTTTCCTCAATGTTAGGCTTCCACGACAGCCGTCGTTGATTGTCCACCTAGTTACCTGGTGCAATTAACCTGGAGCCAGATCGAAAAGGGAGTATAAAAATCGTCCCTTAACCAAAAGTTCCACATCATCTACATAGGCGATCACCCGACAGCCCACATTTTCCAGTTTCTCTAGAAGGTCGTTTACAACCGCAATCCAGAGCAGAACACCTTGTGGAGTGCTCCTATTGACTCTGCACTGTGTGACTAATGCCTCTGGAGTGACATTGTTGAAGACCCCCTCGATATCGAAGACGGCCCCTACTGCATAATCTTCATGCGCGAAAGCTCCCTCTGACTTTACCAAGCTGTGCAGGGCGGTATTCACCGACATTTTTTTGCAATAACCATATTGAGCTCTTGAAAGACAGTCACGAGGAATCGCGATCCTTATGTACAGGTCTATCAGTCTCTTTAGCGTTTTTAGCAAAAACAAAGAAACTGATAGGCCTAAAATCCCTAGGGGTAACATGAGAGCCTTTTCAGGCCTTCGGAATGAAAGCAACATTGACTACCCTCCAAGCCTTTGGGTGTACCCGGTCCTCACGCAGTTCGCATAAATATAATCCACTTTGCAGCTGGGCAGGTATGATGCCACCGGTCCCCGGCGGCATTAATAGTTTGTACGAATTTATCGCCCCGGCTATGTGACGATCGGCCAGAAGATCGGAGGAGTACAGGGCCTGGGGGGGAGATTCTGTAAACAGTTACCGACAATTTTCGAATCGCTATCGCACTTTTTGACGCAAAAACATTTATATCATGCGTCAAAAAGTGCGATGGCGATCCGAAAATTGTCGCTAACTGGTTACAGAATCTCGCTCCTGAAGTACAATATATCGCAAAGAAGTACATTTGACTGTACTTCGAAGTACGAAGTACAAGAGCGAAAAAAGAAGTACTGTACTTCCGAAAGAAGTACGGTTAGTCACGTTAGTCATAACTCAAAAAAGAGAAACTAGAAAAAGGTTTTAAAGTTTTGAATTAACAAATACTCCCATAGTAAATATGAATATGAACCCAGCCATATCCGGAAACATATCCGAAAATAGAAACAATTTCTTATAAAAACCTGATGTTTCATCCGTTTTCCGATTGAGTTTTCGGACGTTTTTCAGATCAATTCTCCCACTAAAGTGTTCATTCGAAACGTATGTGCAGGAAACTATAGAAAATAGTTGTAAAACGGATGCGCTTTCGGCTGTTTTCCTGAAATTTGTCTGAGTTAATTTTTCGTTGAAAACGATTTCATTATGAACTTCACAGAAACTTTTTCATAGTTACTGGAAACCAAACAAAAAACTTTTTTGAGATTCAGCAATTATTTGAGTAGTCCACTTGCAAACAGCGTTATGTGATTTTATAATGGCTGCGTTTCTTTATACATTCCGGATAATCCCATTTCACAGCCGGAATAAAAAGAATGTGTTTGAAATATACGTTAACATATCATCAGGAACGTTCTAAAGAATAAGTAAACAAAAAAGTTTATTCCAAACGTTCAGAATGAATAAAGAAATGCAGCCAATAGAAAGCCACAAATTTGAAAAAACGACTACAACAACAAGTAACATTTAGATTGAATCTTTTTTATTATTACCTGGAAATTTGGACACACAAGAGCCTTATAAAATTATAATATAACATAACATGACATAAGATAACATTAACATTCTATACGACCTAAAGCAGTTTTCTAAGTTCATCAGAAGATGGATACTTTTGAAAGTTTATAAATAAGTATGATAGCGACTTTTGGAAGAAGAGTTAACATTTGATGCTATTTTTTCAAAATATAAAATGATTTTATACTGTGTTGTTAGTGGACATGAAGCAACTTTAAATACTGGTACGTAATGCACCAAAAATTAAAAATCGAAAAAATTTTACTTAGCGCTCTTTGCAAGTGGACTACTCTTTTCAATTTTAATAAATAATTTTAATATGTTGCTTCTGACGGAATTCCAGCCTGGGACCTCCGGAAAGCTAACAATACTCAGTGGGCAAGATCTCTGAAAACCAAATCGTAGAGCTGTGGATAGTTTTAAAATATTTTAAATAGATTTGGCTCACAAACACCTCTTTAGACAGTCGCATAATGAAAAATTATAAAGTGAACCAGATAGCAATGACCATCGTACAGTTTCATCATGCTCGATTTGTAAACAAAGCTTCTCAGCGGTGAAAAATATACTATTGTTAAACGAGCAAAATTCACAGTAGCGCTATTCTTCATCGAATGATCGTCATAATACCAAATGAAAATTCGTTCGATAAGCACTTTCGACCACAGTCGAAGATCGAATGCAACTCACGTAGCTGGCGTTGGACTTGCGAGTTTTCGTCGTCGACGTCGATATTTTCGAAAGAAAGAAATCTTATTTCCAAAGACATTTCGTCTTGTTTGTACAACTAAGTTCCAATTGATCATTGTTGCGCATATTGGAAATTTCCCTTGTCTACAGTTAAAGGTTAAGGGTCCTTATTTTGAACATATGGGCAAATCTAAAAAAACAGGTAACCTTTGTGTTATTTAGCTTTATTTTCAATGCTATAAACTAAATCAAGCTCGTTGCCTTTGGATATAATTCATTGACGTATACTTGAAGCCTCAAAAAAAATTTGGAATTTTGAAGTGAATTTTTTATGTAATTTTTAAGAGGGGCACAATTAATTATGTCATAACTTTTGAATCACACCATATTCTGATTTGAAATTAAATGGGTTCTTAGCACTTATGTGTACACTTCATATGTAGTAGGTAAAAAAAGTGTGCATTAAAAAATAACGAAATGGCAAGTAACTCAAAGTCTGTAACTCTACATTTCACAATTTTCAAAATTTTCGGTTTATCGCATATAGGTTTTGAAGCGTTTAATTCAAAGAACTTTTTAAGTATGTATTGTATTCTACAAACAATTACGAATAATTTGATACCTTAGCAAGAGGTGTGCTTTTAGAATAAACTAACTTTTA